AGATAGCTTTTTACACGGACATTCCAGTTGCTCACACAGGGCTTGGGAACAAAGTGACTGTGAGCTAAGTGGCATTAAGAAATTGGATTTGTGCTGTTTGGCATATAGCGAGTGCTGAGTGCTTTGTTTGTGGAATACTTGTCGTCTCTGCTCCTTTTTAGACCCTTTGTAGTATTTAAAAACACTTTTTCCTTTTCTGTCAGTTTTCAAACTGTTCCTTTTTTTTTCTCTCTCAGGTTTGCAGCTCTCTGGTTAGGGGGAGCGGTTAACTGGTCTCTGGTGTGTCTCATTAAGCAGGTGTACTATAAGCTAGTGCACCACTCACTTTGAACTTGCTCACACAGGGCTTGGGAACAAAGTGCCTGTGAGCTAAGTGGCGTTAAAAAATTGGCGTTTTGAACTGTAAGTAATATCTTTATTTTCATATCAATTATATAAATATTGCAACTGGGATCATGTTTGTTAGCATGGTTGAAAAGTTTGTTCAGTGCACACTGTGCCACATGTATGCACAAATGGAGCCGCAGCTCCAGGGTGAATACCGCTTTGACAGATGTGAGCAGATTGCACTTCTCAAAGCTCACATTAGAGATCTGGAAGAGCGGAATGCAACACTGAGGAGACTTGACAACCTTGAAAGGAGCCTGCTGATCACTGAGCAGGCAGTTAATGGGGTTGATGTGGAGGGGTATGTGAGGATGATCAGGTAGGATCAAATTTGCTAAGTTGGGTGAAGATGTGCGGGTGGCAGACTCAGAATTGGCAGCCCTAGATGTCACTGCTACCCCCAACAGCCGTGAGAGCAGCACATCTAGTCCAGGTGGTGAGGGTAATGCAGGAAGGCCTAGACAGGTTGTGGTAATAGTGGATTCTATAATTCGGAGGACTGATAGAATAGTTTGTTGTTGTTTGGCCAGCTTGATTGTGAATGGCTGGGAAGCCGGTTTCACGGCCAATCAGCATGGAGCCAGCTTCCTGGCCAATCAGGTCATGACCTGATTGGCCAGGAAGCCGGCTCGATGCGGATGGGGGGTTTGGGAGAGATGGGGGCCAGATTTGATCGGGTAATTCCATATTACCTGGGAAAGTAAACTTGCCCTTTAATGCACACTGTGCGTGTGAGAGAGTTCTGCTGCCTCGCTACCACAATATGGCACAGTGAAATGGCGGCAGCACTCAACGCACACACACAGTGTCCTATGCTTGCGTTTATTTGCATGCAGATGGCAGGGGGCAGCGGGGTTCGTTTTCATTTTTTTTTTTTACATTGTCACTTTTTAAAAAAATATATATTTCATTTTTTTTTACTTTTTTATAACTTTTTTTTTTTTTTATTATTTTTTACTTTTTTTTTCCCCCCCCACCTTATTTTATTCCTATCACATAGGGATTTAAAATCCTCTATATGATAGTTTGGAGGTGACAGGTTCTCTTCATGGAACCTGCCCTCCAACACAGACCGGGCGATAGGAATTCCATACCCCTGTGTCATTTGAAAGCTACAAAGAATATAATAATATGTAAAAAGGAAATAAAGCTTGCAAAGATTCAAAACAACAGGTTGCAAACGATTGCAAGATTAACCCCCAAAAATTCATTAAATATATTAATAGTAAAAAAATCAGGACTGAGCATGTCGGCCCCTTAAAAGGCCCCTTAAAAGATAACTCAGGGTTTGTAACTGGGGACAAAGAGAAGGCAAATCTATTAAATACTTTCTTCAGCTCTGTGCATCTTTTTCTCTGTATCTCTATAGGTTGAACTCGATGGACTTGTGTCTTTTTATTTTCAACCTGACTTACTAGAGATACAACGATGTAACTCAAGTTCATATTGGGGATAGCAGTGCCATAGCCTCTACTGAACCACAATGGTTGACTATTGATATGGTCCAAAAACAGACAAAATTAAGGTGAACAAAGCACCTGGACCAGACGGCTTACACATACGTGTCCTCAAAGAATTGAGCTGTGTAATTTCAAAGCCATTATATTTAATTTTTAGAGACTCTCTAATGACTGGCTTGGTACCGATGGATTGGCGCAAAGCCAATGTGGTGCCTATATTTAAAAAGGATCGATGTCTTTACCAAGTAATTACAGACCTGTAAGTTTAACTTCAATAGTTGGGAAGATAATTGAAAGTTTGTTCAAGGATCACATGCAATTGTTTTTGCTTGAAAATAATTTTATAAGCTATAGTCAGCACGGATTCACAAAAGACAGAAGTTGTCAAACAAACCTACTTTCTTTTTATGAGGGAGTAATAAATTGGACAGAGGAATGGCTGTGGATATAGTATACTTGGACTTTGCAAAAGCGTTTGAAACAGTTCCCCACATGCGGCTAATAAGTTAAGGTCAGTAGGTATAGAGCATTCCATCTGTAATTGGGTAGAAAACTGGCTTAAAGACCGTATTCAGAGAGTGGTGATCAATGATTCATACTGTGAATGGTCTGAGGTTGTTAGTGGTGTCCCCCAAGGTTTAGTGTTGAGCCCCTTACTGTTTAACCCATTTATAAATTACATAGAATTGGGGATTAAAAGTACTATTTCTGTGTTTGCAGATGACACCAAGTTATGTAGTGGAATACAGTCCGTACAGTATGTCTCCAACCTACAAGCAGATCTGAATGCTCTGTATGATTGGGCATCTATTTGGCAAATGAGGTTTAATGTTGATAAATGTAAAGTTATGCACTTGGGGACTAAAAACATGCAGGTCCCATGCAGGTCCCTGCAAAGGACAAGGGGGCACTCTTTGCGTCTGGAGGAAAAGAGGTTTAACCTTTGCATATGGAAAGGATTCTTCACAGTTAGAGCTGTGAAAATGTGGAATAGACTCCCCCAGGAGCAAGTTCTAGCTAACTCGGTTAATTGTTTTAAAAAACATCTAGATGTATTCTTAAAATGCACAGAATATTACTGGATATTTTGTTCTTATAGGTATATCATCAGAGATTGCTGATCCAGGGAATATCTGATTGCCTTATGGCAAGGGTGTCAAACTCAATTTAATCTTGGGCCGCATCAACATTATGGTTGCCCTCAAAGGGCCTTAAGGACCCGTTCACATGATATCAGGTCCGCATCAGGTGCGGATCTGCAGACGTGGTGCTACTGATGCAGTGCATTTTTGTCGCGTTTTTTTTTTTTTTTTTGCTGGAGTGGGGCTGTCAGTATGTTAGCTGCAGTGCAGTGCATTTTTACGTGTTTTGCGTTTCCGGTCCGTTTCCTGACCGTACAAAATGTGACATGCAGTATTTTTTCGTAACCTGAACGGACTGCGCACGTGAGAACTGTAGCCCATAAAACACATAGGGATACATTTTTAGTGCAGGAGCGTACGGATCAGGTCAGCCCAGAAAACGGACGTCTTGTGAACAGGCCCTTGAGACTATATTAATGTATCTAATCGTTATCATAATTGCCTCTGCATTCGATTATCACTGGTTTTAGTAATAACTTAATACCTAGATCTGAAAGTAGAAGTCTACGAAATGGCCTGGTGGGCCGGATTCGGCTCCTGGGCCTTGAGTTTGACACATGTGCCTTATGGGATCAGGAAGGGATCTGTTTTCCCTTGTTGGAGCAAATTGAACCATGCTTTATAGGGGTTTTTCTGCCTTCCTCTGGATCAACAAGGGGCAGCTGTGGGCATAGGTTGAACTCGATGGACTTGTGTCTTTTTATTTTCAACCTGACTATAGTTTTAATGGGTGCATAGGTTGGGGGTTGTGCTAAATGATGCAAGTCATGTACAACCATTTTGATTTTTGTATTTTGTAATAAATTTATACATTGTTGATACTTTTTTGCTACTCCGATCCTTATTTATAACTACTGTGATCTAAGCCTCCCTGTGGGTTCGGATAAGATTTTTCTACATGTTTTAACCGAGTTATGGATTGTTGAGTAATGCAAATAATGACCTAATTATGGTGAAAGGGTTAATTAAGTGGTGTTTGGGTCTCTGGATAAGTACAAACATTTTTCTATGGAGTTTTCTATGGAGTTCCATGCAGTACAAGCACAGTTACTAGTGAGGTCACCACAGTTAAAAGTCAGATGCTGCTTCAGTGAAGTACCAATATTTAGCCGGTCTAGGAAGACACTGGAACCACTACCTGCTGATAAGACTATCTAGGACAGGGGTGCCCACAATTTTTTGTGTTAAGATCTACTTTTCAAATGACGAGCTACATGAGATCTACCAACGAAAAAAAACTTTGCTATCTCTCTGCTGACTGTCTCTCCTTGCTCTCTTTACTGGCTGTCTCCCCTTGCTCTCTCTCCTGGCTGTCTCTCCTTGCTCATCCTCCAGGCTCACCTTGCTGTATTTTGCAAACAGTGCAGTGCAACAGGCTGTGTAAACTAATATTCTTTGATGTAATACATAGCACTTCAACCACCAGTATCCACCAGAAAGGTGTCAGGGAGCTTGGCTCAGCAAACTCAGGCTAATAGATAATCATGTGTGCACAGCAAAATAAATATACCAAAATGGAATAAAGGGGCCGCCATTCACACCCTTCCTGATCTACCAGCATCAGCTTTGAGAGCTACTGGTAGATCACGATCTACCTAATGGGCACCCCTGATCTAGGATATAAGGATCTGACATAAAACTGCCATAAGCTGCTTTATTAAAGAATCTTCAAGCACTAGCATATGTCTAGATGCAGCAAAGCAGAAGAAAGAAAAGATGATCTACTTCCTCAGAACACTTATGTAAACTGGGATCTTAAGCAAGTGTAGGGGTATAGCAACTAGATGGAGCTGGTACTCTCTGATTTGCAAAGTATAAAAAATATCATGTAGGAAGCAAGTATACCACATGTAAATAATTTAACGTGACATATTGAACAATGAATATTTGAGAAATTAGAGAAATATGGCATATGCATTCATAACATTTTATCAAGATTTTTCTCCAACATAAAGAAGCTTTTGTTTTTGCTTTAAAATACAAATCTGTTCAAGATCTCAGTTTAACTCACCTCATTGTAGAAGAAATGGACAGTGTGACTGTTCAGCTTTACAGAAAGGGTTTTCAGGAAGCAAATATAATAACCCATAATTTCCTCATCAGAGAAGTCAAATTTGTGGACAATAATGGAATTCACGTGATTATTGGACAGCAAGTAATCTGGGGAAAGGAGAAAAGGATATTTTAACATTTCATCTTTTTTGGCATTACAAAAATCTACACGAGGTGTTTTGGCCCCATGCAAGGGGGCATCAGATTAGATCTCAAACAACCTATTCTGCAAAGATAACTGGAAACCGCCTTTACTGTAAACAAAGAGAAAACAGGATTTTTTACTTTACATAAAGTCTTTTTCTTGGAGTTCATTAAAGGAAAAGAGGGTAGAAGTATTCTGAGACACTGGGTTTTGCTGCTGCCTACAGGAAATTGCAGAGATGAGCAAGGAGTTTCAGGTAAGGAAAAGAGCAGATCAGTTTGAACTGATCCCATAGAGTCAGCAGAGCATCCACTGCCACAGTTAGATGATCCCTTGACCTGGAGACAAATTTGCTCAATAACTCAATAGCTACTGATTAGCCAGGAAGCCGGGCGGCGTTTAAAGACTCACCACCCAACTTCCCGATTAGCATGGAAGCCGTCTCCATGCTCACTCGTCACCAAGTTATGAGGAAGCATGGAGCCGGCTTTTTTTGGCCAATCAGGAAGCCCGGTGCCGTGTAATGACTCGTTGCCCAGCTTCCCAATTGGTCGGAGCTGGTGATGAGGGAGCAAGAAATCTGCTTTCTGGCCAATCAATAAGCCGGGGGGGCAGTAATGACTCGCCGCCCTGCTTCCGGATTTCTCAGTTTGCCGACCAATCAAGAAGCTAGGCAGAGCTTTATTACACACTGCACCCCTTCCTCGCGACCAAGTCACAAGTATGTAGCTGGCTGCCCGGCCAATCAGGAAGTCGGGCAGCATGTAATGACTCGCTGCCCGGCTTCCTGATACCGGAAGCCCAGGTATCAGACAAGGCATCGGAGCATTTGGGCGAGTACTCACCAAATATTTGGCATCGGCACATGCCTTCCCATCTCTACACTGTACATCTTAAAGTCAATGTCCACTTTTGTAAGTGATTAGCATTTATTGTGGTATTGTAGAGGTGCAGACATTATGTATACGTGTGCTAATTTTCATGAAGTTTCATTTTTTTTTATACAGTTTTTATTAGGCCTGAATCCTACCATTTCAAAATTTTCTCCACAGGAAATGGAGTCTGACAACAAGGTCAGAATGTAAAGCAGGCTGTATACAGCTTCCCCCCTTCCTTTGATTCTATGTAACACAATCACTAAACATCAGCTTTACACACAATACACAGTCAAGGGTGGTTGCCATGCTAATGAGAGGGGGAGTGGAGACCTCAGTTGTAATATACACACATTGCCTGCAGAGCTCAGAGGCGGCCATTTTCATGAGGATATGAAGAGGAAAGCTAACAGAAAAAGTTTCTGGTTCATACAATACAACTGTTTATGCCTGCTTCACGTACCCTCAGTGTACATGGACATGTTTTTAAAAAAAATACCTCTGCAAAGGTGAAAATGGGCTTTAAATAAACGATAATTTATTTTTGCATTGCCTCTTCAAATAAAAAAAAAGCACACTTGTGATGGTCTACTCTCCATTTAAGTAAAAAAAAAACGTGAAGCCCCTGTGTCTCTGTATGGTTGATAGAGCAGCCAGTATCTTTTATCTTTATTGGACTGTATATAAAAACTAAAGTTCAGTGTGCAAGCCTAATTGTGTGTGTCTTTCCCTAAATGTGTGTGTCCATTTTATTTGCTGTATGCTGTAAGGGAAAGTTGTCCACGGCCTTCATTAGCTGGGCATACAATCATTCCACGGTCTGTGTTCTCCAGTGTGAAACAGAATGACGACAACATTTATAAATAAGCAGGTACTGCAAAATAGTGAGGTGGATGTAAATGTATAAGAAAGCTTCCAGTACAGCTGGCTGGAAGCAGAAAGAGCCTGTCTGCAAAAGGACAGCTGGAAAATAGGCATGAAAACCAAGGAGATCAGACATAGAGTCGCAATATGCTCAGTGATATTGTAAAGTTGAAAGAACTCTCTAGTGCTTCTGACAGGAAACCGAAACTGCTCTTTACTTTTTATGCTGTACATGATTCACTATTTCTGTTTTTGCAATATTACATTTTTTCTATGTTTTTATCAATAAAGTCAGCTTCCATTTAGACTTACAAAGAGATGTCTCATGATTTATGTTCTCAAACAGCATATTCAGTGTCTGAAGAAGCTGCCCACAAACATAGCGACCAGACTTCTGCCGCAAGATGTTTAGGAAGAACACAAACATATTCTTCTCCAGAAAAAAGCTGTAATACAGAAACGTCAAGTAAATTTAGGAAATCATTAAACCGGTACCATTCAATATTCAAAGCATGATGACTTTACTAAGAGCAGAGCATGTCAGATGAATTTGATTGAATTATTTTAGATCACAAATGTTTTAGACCAGAGTGGTGCTGTGGACATAGTATCTGATGCAGTACCACAAAAAGATCCCATAAAAAGTTGTACAAAGACTTAAATCAGAATAAAACACCTCCCCTCGTTGTAATCCACATCTGCACCCGGTGTTTTTACGGGTTTGGGATCTTCCGCCATCTTGATTGACCTGGTCAGGATGCCGTAACTTGCACACATGCACAGTTCAGTGTATATTTTAAAGAAGATTGGGAAGAGGCAGTAACTTTGTTTTATTGCAGAAGACAAAGCATGTCTCTTCTGCAATAAAGTGCCTGTCTGCTTGCAATATTTCTATTTCAAGAACAACTCATAGGATTGGGCGAGTATAACTTTGGGTTTTTTTTCTACCTAGACCAAATCCAGCACTTAACCCCTGCAGTGCGGATTGCTAGTGCAAGGGGAGAATTTACTCCAGCCACCAACATAAAAGGGCTGCAATTTGTAAAATGTGCTGTACAACATGCTATGTACCCCAATATTCTGCACTTTTTACACTGCACTGTGCTATATGTTACATTTCCCAGACTGCTGAGCCATGTACATAATGTTGTGAATTTATACCACAGGAATTTTTCGAGGAATGAAGAATATCCCATTAAACAAACAGACACACTATTCCTAGTCACTATCTAAATTTAATTAAGTTTAAATTGCCAGGAGAAATGCAATATACAACAAATTATTATGTTAACATTTTTATGCCACTATTGCATCTATTGTTCCCAAAGAATATGTCATCCATAAAATGATCCAGTATTTGTTATCAAACAGTAAGCCTTAAATACCACTTACTCAAAAACAGAGCTGTCATTTTGATCCCCCCAGATAAGAATCTCTGTGATGGACCGAATTGTCTCCACTAATAAATTGCGGTTTTGATCTGTGACAGTGGTGTTCTTTGTTAAAACATGGTACATATATCTAGAAAGCAAAAACAAGCAAGTTGAAAATTTCTGCAACATGCCCAAAAAGGACTATACAAGTCATACACAGCTTTTCTGCACATCAGGCTACTGGGATCTCATTTGTTACACTGAAAAATTAATGTTTGGTTATAGAATTTAACACACAATGCAGTAAAAGATCAAAGAACAGCTAATAAAGCCCACAACATGATGTAAAAGGGCATTTAGTACCATTAACAAATAAACATAACATCTCCAAGAACGCATTCTCTAGCACGCAGCTCAAAATGCCCATGCATTGCCTTGATTAGAATATGTGTATATACACATGTATGTCCATATTTAATGGTTTTAGATGTTTAATACATCTTCTAAATCAGTGGTTCTCAACCTGTTTAACCTCGGGACCCACATTTGTCCTCGGTCATTAAGTCGCGACCCAAGTTGCACTGCAATGTTCCCTGTTGCAGTACTGCGCTTTCCGGTGCAGGCGATCGAACTGTGGGCAGGAGGTGTGTTTGGGTTGCCATTATGCAAATTGGAGTGGATCCTCAACCTGGGGTCCAGTGTGGGCTGCTGAGCTGTGATGGAGCTCCATCCATATGTGTATTGCTTGTAAAGCTCCCGTGTGTGCCCGTAGAGGTACCGGGAGCCAGAAAGTGATGAGCTGTAAGCAATGCAGGTATGGATGGAGCTCCCTCGCGGCCATAGCCCCACCTCAAGTCGACACTCGGCACCGGGCTTCATATTTTTGAATGGCTGCTCGGTGCGAGAACTGACAGTGCTTCTCTAAGGGGAGGACAAGGATACTCTCACCTAGAAAAGTGGAAGGCATCTGGCGACCCACTGGACATGGGGCCGCGACCCACTTTTGGGTCACGACCCACCAGTTGAGAACCATGGTTCTAAA